ATGATCAGCTACTACCGTTTATTGCTCTCAGGTCATCATTTTCTCAGGTGTGCATCCTAGTCATCACCACAGTAACCATTCCTGATGTCACAAAGGATTATTACTTTTACTAGGAAGTAAGTTTGAGCAGATGGATGCATAAGGAACCAAAATCCTATTGTTATACAAATAATTAGAGGGTAGGAGGAAACTAATATCAATTATGCATGTAGGCATAATTTTTTAAATAGATTTTTAAATTTGTATTTCATACTGAGAATTTCTGAGAAGAAATATGAAATGTTTAAATCACAAAAGTGGAAGCAGCATGAAAGTCATAGACTTTTAAATTGTAAAAAACTAATTTTAGGTAAAACTTGCTTTTGCAGATTATAGGCTGCTTTTACATCCAGTACCATGCTGCCTCCTCAGTTTTTCTCCTAGTGTTTTCAAAGATTTGAGCTTTCTATCTTGTCTTTTGGAAACCTGATGATGACAGAAATTATAAAAAAAAAAACAATGTATTTGCTGATGTTATTATAAGGCTTTTCTATAAAGCATGAATATAAGAAAGTTCCAGAATTGTACTTAGCCATATTATTACATAGGCTTGATAGATACTTTCTACTAGCTACTTAACTGTCTTTCCATTTTTTCTTTCAATTTCTAATGTCTGTGTTTCTCTGCATTTATCTGTTTCTTTCTCTCCTTTGAACTGTTGTGGGTTGGGTTGTTGGGTTTTTTTGTGTGTGTTTTTTTTTTCATGTAATGCCGTCTACACTCGATACCAAATTAATTGCCTTATTGAATGTACAGAAAAGTAGACTGTCAGCAAAGACCTGCTTTTGTATGTTCTGGAATAGGTTCAGCCTTACCTACCAGATTGCCTAAACCTTAAAAATCAAATAATACCCAAGCAGTAGTGGAGGGGTGAAGCAATGAACTCACATGCAGCTGGAGGGAGTATACACTGGCTTTGGCAACCTGTTTGTCATTATGAAGAAAGTGGAAGATACACAAATTCAGTGAGCCAACAGTACCGTCTATGTATTGTAAAGAATAGCCCAAACGTAGGAACAACCCAAGTAATACTCATCAAAAGAATAGGTAAATAATTGAGATGTGTTCGTACAATGAATATTATACAACAGGAAGCATGAAACAGAATTTCACAAACATAATATTGAGTATAGGAAGATAAGCACAAAAGAATAAATACAACATGATTCCATTCAAATAAAGTTCAAAAAACAAGCAAAGCTAAACTATTCCATAACCATATTGTGGTGGTTAAAAACAAAAGCAAGTAAATGATTTTCATTCTCATTCTCTCTCTGTTTCTTTCCACACACACACACACACACACACACATTCATCCTCTAGGTAAATGATAATTTACCAAAATCTAAGCAAAGGCCCCATTTATTCAGTAAATACTGTCTACTATGTACTGGGCATTTGTTGCCCAGAACAGAGAAGGAGCCTAGTTGGGGAAACATACAAGTAAATCTGAAATTAGAATACACTGTAACACGTCACAATGATTGTATTCAGTGGTTATTTTAGGTTCTTTCCTCAGCCTTACTATATAATTTGTACCTGATAATGGAATATCACCTTGGTAACTTTTTTTGGTAACATTTTTTTTCTCATTTGTGAGACATAATAACCATGACAAACAAGTTTTATTGCTTCCTGCTTTTGGCTGCTGAAGAGTAATGGAAGTGCAGTATCTCTTTAGATTTATAGCTCTGCTCTTACCTACTGTGAAGAAATATCATACTTGTGCTGGAAACTTCCTTCGTATGACAAGTCATCATTAAAGAATCTAGCAGGGCCTAAAGAGTTGGTGGGCTGCACTTTGACCCAGTGTTTGGAAACCTCATAATTATGGAAAATTAAGATATAAATTATATTTCTAGAAGTGGCAGTGCAGGATGCTTCACAAGTTAGGAGTTAGTTATTATGAGAAGAGTTAAAAGTCAGCCTATATTTCAGAGATATGAGAGTTTAGGATAAGGGACCTTTTGTAAATTATTATTTATAATAGTGAACAGTAATAATACTCATTTTAATATTGTAACATAAAACTGTAGAGCTACCTTTATTGTGGGAGAACAATTTATGTGGACTTGTGCAATGACAGATGATCTAATATGTATTGTAAATGATTCGTAAGATACCCTTAAAGACATACTCTTTCACTGGTTTTGGTAGAGTAATAGAATGCAGCATTGTCATTTATTCCTTTGCATCCTCCAGTTCTTTAAAATATGTTAATAAAATTATCTTTAACCTTATTTCTCTGGATGACTTGTCAAAAAAGGGGGAGAGGAAGAAACTGCATAAACATTCCTGTAGTGGTGGTGAATACTTTTTTAGCTTAGATATCTATTTTTATATGTGCTTTATTTTTCTTCTCAGATTTGGTATAATGTAATTTCTAATACAGAGACTGAGTTTATGTTCTGTAATCAACTGCTGATAATACATGAATGAAGAGCTATGTTGTAAATAATCCAAACAGGGGAGGGAGAGAGGAAGGGAACTGAAGAAGGAAGGAAAGGAAAAGAAGAAAACCACTGTGGTTCTCAAACATAAATAGGTGGTTTGCCTTCTAATTGTAATTATGTTATTTATTGCATTATTAAATATGATGAACAGATTTGTTAAATAAATTTGTATAAAAATTTATTACATTACTGAATATTTTGAATACTGAGTAGTTAACTTTTTTTTTTTTTTTTTTTAAGATTTCATTCATTGGGCACCTGGGTGGCTAAGTTGGTTAAGCAACTGCCTTTGGCTCAGTTCATGATCCCAGGGTCCTGGGATTGAGTCCTGCATCAGGTTCCCTGCTCAACAGAGAGTCTGCTTCTCCCTCGCCCTCTGCCTGCCGCTCTGCCTACTTGTGCTCTCTATCTCTCTGTCAAATAAATAAATAAATAATCTTTTAAAAAATAAAAAAAATTAAGATTTCATTCATTTATTAGAGACAGAGAGAGCGAGAGCATGAGTCAGGAGAGGGCGGAGAGAGAAGCAGACTCTCTGCTGAGGAAGGAGCCCGAGGCGGGGGCTCGATCCCAGAACCCTGATATCATGACCTGAGCCAAAGGCAGACGTTTAACTGACTGAGCTACCCAGGCGCTCCAAATAGTTAACTGTTGGTAGGAAGCCAGCTTAGCTTTTAAAATTCACTGCAAATAGGCTCCACAAGGTTTTTAAGTCTTAGTTTCCTAGAACATGAATTTAAGGCTTAGTTTAGCAATTCTCTAAGATTTCTAAGTCCTAAGCCTATTTGATTTATATTTTGAAAGCCCATATTTAATCAGCAATTTGAATCAAGGACCATTTAAGCTTCACATTTTAGGCATGGCATATATTGTATATTTATATTATTGAAGGTCTGACCATTTAGATTTGTAATCATCATGTTCAATTTTCTCTGACATCATCCCAATACAAATTGCCCAACATTACACTTATGTTATTGGACAGTAGAACTTCGGATGTTAGATTTCTAAATGAGATATGACCAATGTTCTTGGCTGGCTTATCTGACTAGTTACCCTGACAATTAGGCGTTTAATGTGATTTTATTAGCTGATGAGTATAGGTTCCCGTCCTGCAACTATATAACAATACAATAAAGCTAAGTGGATAAAATTATGTTATTTCACTTGAGTATGGATTTCCTGAAAAATTTTCAAAGTTATCAAGCAAATATTTATGAGGCCCTGCTATATGAGGGGTGTGTGTGTGTGTGTACACCATAAGAACTGATATATATTGTTTCATTGTCTAATATGATTCAGCAACAATTATAAAGATATGACCTTAGTTTTAGTTTTCTTATTAGAAAAATGAAAATCTTTCATTTACTAACTTAGTAGCTGTAATGCCCTTGTGAACCATTTCTTTTACTGACCCTTTAGACCATGCTTCTGTAGCTGCCCTGTCCAGTATGGTGGCCACTAGCCAGATTTGGCTATTAAACAATTGTGAAATGTGGCTAGTCTGAATTAACATGTGACTGTAAGTGTAGAGTACACTCAGATTTCAAAGATTTATCACAAAAAAGACAATTTAAAATATTTCATTAATAATCTATATATTGATTGCATATTGGGATGATGTTTTATTGGATTTAATAAAATAGGTTATTAAAATTAATTTTTTTACTTGTTTCTTTTTCTTTTTTTTCATGTGGCTACTAGTAAATTTAAATTACATATGTGGCTCATACTTATAGCTCTCCTATTTCTTTTATATGAAGAAAGTCAGGTTTAGAAAGACAGATACTCTTTCTTTCATCTCTTTCCATTCCTACCTTCAGGGGTTAAAAAGTATTCTAAAGCTCTTTATATATTCCAACAGTTAAATGACATCTGTTCTATGGAATATATATGTATACATAACAGAAGGTATGTCTGACCATCATTTTGACCACTTGTTGTAATGTTGCCTGTCTGGTGTGTTCTAGAATGGAGGGAATAATGAAAAATGAAACATAAAATAGCAAGAATTGAGAAAAGGAACATGCCATTTAAGACCCTTACTGTGATCTAGAATTATTATGTGAGTTAGATGGTTTTCTTTGATAATAACTGAGAAACACTCATAGAAAGATATATTTAGTGGCTTCCAAGCTGAGAAAAAAATTCTATAAAATATTAGTTCCTGTTTTTTTCTCTTACACAGAATTGTCATTTGTGAAAGAGGAGGTGAAAATTTTCACATGTGATAGTCATACATTCCTAGGACACAGAGTTCTTTAAGCTCCTATATGATGCCAGGGAGAATTTTTTTTCTCTGAAAAAGTGATTGTCTCTTTTCCCCATCCCACCCCCATTTCCATGTTTACTTGTTTTGTTTTTCCAAAAAGACATATTTAATGCCCTGCCTAGGTTTATTTTCTACTTACTCACTAAGTAAGGAATAACATTGTTATGTTTTATATTTGAAATTGTAAGGTACATTTCTTTTTTCTTTTATTTTTAATTTAACTCTTTGTTTTACAGATGAGGGCAGAAGTGCAGTTGACCAAGCAGGTGGTGCACAGATTGTAATTGACCATTTAAGGTCACTGTGCAGTATAACAGATCCCGCCAATGAGAAGCTCTTGACTGTCTTTTGTGGCATGCTGATGAACTATAGCAATGAGAATGGTAAACAAAATTGAAAACTTGCTTTATCTCTGGGGGAGATTAAAAATCATCATTACTGTAGCACAGACCAAAAATATTTAGAAAAATTATGAGCAAAGAATTCATAAGTGGCATATAAAATTAAGAATTAGCCAACATTAAATCACAGTGTTTCAAAAATACAGAATGTTCTAATTTATTAAATGGGACAAGTTTTTGAGGGGTTACCCATGTTAACTAATACCAAAAACCAAAACAACATAATGGTATGCTTTAATATTTCTCACTTACTCACATTTTAAAAATAAACAGTATTTAAAATAGCTTCATGTTTATTACTTTATATTAATGCCAGGAGTAGCTTTAAAACACAAACACTATATTAGTAAGATTATTTTATCTAGATACTAGATTTACTCGTCAGAATAGAAAAAATCTTTTAATAAAATCTGGCCTTAGAAAAAGTTCAGAGTAATTGCAGTTTCTGATTTTAGAAATTTAATAAGTACTTGTCAATAGAAGTTTCTTTTCTCTGTAAAACATTCTTAGAACCTAGCAACAAATGATATGTCAGAATTTTCAGATAACCTATATGGTTGTTAATTAAATGAACATAAAAATGGTGATATGAAAGCTTCACTATACTTTTAAATGTCACAGTAAATGTATCATATGAGTTACAGCATGGATCCAACACTCAAAAATTCTGATAGGTTTCTAGGCTATATCTTTCTGTGGTTTGTTTTATAATGGCATCTTAAGCTGTAGTCTTTGACAGAGACATATTTTATTTGCACTTTGAACATGTAATATCATTCTTTACTTTCATGTGTTCTAGAAACACATGGACCTTTAGGCATATTTTTCATTTTTCACTTTTGGTAGTCACGAGTCCAAAGAAATATTCTCAATAATTAAAAAAAAAAAAAAAAGATAAACATGATGATCAATGGCTACTGGCATTTGGCCTTGGTGTTAGGGACAACCACAAACAGTGAGGACTGCAGCCCTTGTCTCATTGAACAGGGAGGGCCACTACTCTCCTCTACTCTGTAGTTTCTAATGGCACTTTGGCCAAATACTGCCATATCTTTCATTTGGAGATGGGGGGGAAGCTGCAAATCTAATTTTCCATGTGACACCTGATTTTTAAATGTTGGATTACATGTGCTTTTTTAGCACTGTACGAGCTAAACTTAGAATGTGTCCTCAGGTCACATCCTATACAGAGGATACCAGATAACCTCTGAATTTAAATTTCCAATAATAGTAAGAAATAGTTTTTATTTGTCAAATGGATAGCCTATTAAACTCAAGCTAGTAACAAATGGTAGCTTTATAGGGTCAGCTACCACTACTTTTTTTTCCCCTGTGGTAGAATCAGTTTTGAAGAGAAAATGAACAGGAGAAACAGAAATGAGAGTCTGGGTAATCCACAAAATGAATAGCTAGTTCCTAAATAATTGAAATTTGACCATAATGCACACATATCTGAATTGCATTAAGAAATCATTGGCCAGTTGTTCGTGTTGCTTTAGCTTCATTTGGGACATCTTGGACACCCATCTTCATCGGGTGTTCATCTTGGACACCTGAGAAAGTGGGACAAGATGCTAAGTGGGAGAATGGTTTAGAAAGATAAATGAAAGAAACTAGCCATGAAGTTATTAGAGCAGCTTTGGATATAAAAAAATTAGTGTTGTTATGGATTTAAACTCATTGTCATTTGAGAAAACCGTTGTTCAAAGATCTGTACAAAAGCATATCAAATGGCCAAATGGTCTTTAAAAATATCACTAATTCTAATCCAGAGGAGACTGAGGTTTCCTTTGAGTCCGTATAGTAGGGTATCACAATATGTAGACATGTGTATTGAGAAGGAAATAATTAACAACAATCAGAGTCCACAGTTGAAATGCATAATATATTTGTTTTGTTGAGGGTAGGCTTTTTTCCTGGCATGCAAGTATTATCAACAAATAACTTAGATACTTCAGAAACCTTGATTAACTTTTCTCCGAACATTGCTGGAGCAGAAGTGTTTTTGTTCCATCATTCTAAAACTGTGATTGGAATGAAGCTTTCAAAACTTATTAGATAAAATAGAAGTAAAGTTATCTTTAGTATTTTAAAAAACAGGTGCCAAATGTTTAACTATCTTCTTTCCTCTGCTTGCATTTACATTTGTCTGTCATGGGGATCATAGTTTGTGAAGTGATTCTTTTTCTCCATAATACTCTTTAACTTAAATTATATTCTTTTCGTTTTACATAATTATTGCAAATAATTATTGTTTTTGTTGATTACTTACTCTTTTCTTTAAAATGTGTGTTTAAAGACTTGCCTACTTAAATATTAGGTCTTTTTGGCTAACTTCAGATCATTTGATATTGATCGTGTACCCCTAGATGAGTAAAAAAAAAAAATAGAGCCTTTTGAAATTCAGGAAGCGTTTTTGTTAGCACTGGAAAATGAAGTTCCTTTTTATGTGTATTTACTATTGAATTTCAGTACATAAGCCTCTGCTAGTAACTGAATAGAATAGTTGAGTGATAAATTGTTACTCTACCAGAAAAATTAACTCTGTCCTCAGCCCCAGTAACTTAAGCCTTACTTATAAGAAGTTATTGCTTTAGCTTCACAGATAATTTTTTTTAAATATAAAGATATGAGAGTGCTGAAAATGGTCACAAAGATCCACCAACATAGTTTCTTTGATGATAATATTTTCAAATTGTATATTAGTCCTAAAAGTAAATTGACACCAGACTGAGACTTAAGATTTATCTTCCTGTCCATCTGGTAGACAACTGTGAGCATATCCAATTTTTAAATCCATTAAATAGGGAATAAAAAAAAATTCCTAACCAAATGCAAGACAGATATATTATGAAAATACGTATGTGCTAAAGGTATTTTTGTACCCTTTGATAAAACTATATAAAACTCAAGGTTCATGAGTTTTATAATTTTTGAACTGGCTCTGGAATGTACACTTTTAAGCTATGAGCTGGGTATATTCTTTTATTTCCCCATTTGTGAAGCAATTACAATTTTTTATACCCAAACTGGTAAGTGTGGAATATCTGAATAGAGAAAGTTATAATTGCTTAGCCAGAAAAGTTGTATCCATAATATTATATAAATAAAATCATGTTTAAATAGAATAAGACAAAAATTTTTTCCAATAAAAATCATTTAAAATTTATCCTTTTGGGAAAAATCATACCTATTTTTCACATGGCAGAAAAGCACTCTTCAATTCTGTGGCTCTCCAAAATAGTCTGAGTGTTTGACAGTTGTGGTTAGAGCAAAGCATGTTGACAATTTGATACTCAGTTTTTAGGAAATATGCTGAGCTTCCTATATTTTCTTCATCTATTTATTACTTATCCATAAACAAGAAACTCAGACCTATTATTACAGATATTTTTATCTCATTAGTTTCTTGGGTATCTTTTTTTCTAGCTTTGGTTGCCCAATGCCAAAACATAGCAGCGAAGGCTAAAAATTTTGTTCAGATCTATTTTCAAACATAACACTGTTTTAGCTTATAGTAGAAGTTTGGCAAATATTTATTGACTTCTGGATATTTAGTATTGTCTAAAATTTTTTTATTAACAAAATCAGTACTTGGAAGAAAAATGGGTTTTTGGAATGTATTTCCTTTATTAATTTAGAAGCATTACAAACTCTTGCCCACTATATTACTTGATATTCCCTGTTCATGTTCATTGTAGTAGCAGAAAGTGGCATTGAAAACATCCTGATGATGGTGCGAAAAATTTACCATAGGTGATCCCCAAACAAAAAATCTGCACATGTATACTTGAAAGTTGACTGCAATTTGAATGGAAACAAACCAGGAATCAAAAGCAAAGCACCAGAGTTATTTAACACCTTGTTCATAAAAATTTTTCACCATTTTTATTATCTTACATGTAATATGTAATAACCGTGATGACCATGATTAATCAGTAAATATCTCTTGGAAAACTCTGTAATTAAGAATTTAATTTTTTCTTAATATACCTATGCTAGAGTAATAAAATACAGGGAGAAGTCTGTTATAATTCTTAAGAAAATTATTGATGGTAAGCACTAAAGTAAGGACTAAAGTTACTTGTTTTATATAAGCTGTGCCATAAGAGAGAAAAATAGAAGAAATAAACATGCCATCAAGAAAGGAAAAATTGGTTTCCTTCTAAAATGATTAACATAATATACACAGTTTATGACTCGCTTCTTCATGTAACCTATATTATATATGTCATATATATATATAGATAGATGAGGAACATGATATATATTGGATATTTGGGATATCAGTTTGAGGATATGACGATATATGTATACATGTGATCTATATTTAATTTTATATGTATGATTTTTCAAATAGAGCTCATTTTTCTCTAGTATCTTAATAGCTCCCTATTATTGAAAGACAAATTTCTCTTTTTTTATGGCTCCTAAAATCTCTCTGGGATACTCTTATAATAATTCTCACATGTATTTGCTGTATAGACTCTTGATAACTGAACTGTTTGAAGGGAGGCCATCTGTGTTTGAGGAAATGCAACTCAAAGGCATGGGTTTATTACCTGGGGCATAACAATTGAAATTAAGTATTCAGCCCGTACATAAATTCAGTTGTTTAAAATAGGCCTGTAAAGTATTTTCTCTGTAACTAGAAGATTACTTAATATGTAATTAATTTTAGCTGCTACCTTCATTTCAACCAATAGCAACAATTTCACAATTTTAATCAAACTATTATTCATTTTTCTGGTGACCTCAGTCTTGTAACTTGGCTTACTTTTTCTTCATACTTAAAATAGGAAGAATAGAAATTAATAAGGAATAATCCTGATGAAAAACTAAGAGCACTTTCGCCTGAGCTACTTGTTTATTTTTATGTTTTGGTATTACTTTATTACATGTAAGAAAGAATACTTCCTAGATATTAGATGTTTAGAAAATGATTTGCTTTGCATAAGTGAGGAACTATTTCCACAGTTTAT